GGGATAAATACCACTTGTGCTCATAAGTGGGAGCTAAGAGAGGAAGAAGGAAGGAAAAAAAGACCACAGTGGTGTGTTGGGGTTGCAGAGGAGATAACATACCTAGGGATACAAAATGGAGTGGGCAGGAAAGGGAGAGGGAGAGGGAGGTCAGGATAATTGGGTGGGGGACATAGACTATAATCACAATTTGTGGTAATGGGCATGCCGCCAGTATGGATCTGGCCATCGCTTCTTGGGCATGTGTGGTGACAATCAGCTTTGTATCTCATGACTATTCATAACCAATTAAAAAAGAAAAATAGAGTAACTTTTCCTCTTAGAAAGAAAATACCATGCATTAATCAGAAAGAAATGCTCCAACCTTTTAATGTCCTGGCTTGTACAGTAGGAAAACTTAGAATTTGGGGGCAAAACTAATAACAACAGCTCTCACATGCTAAACATTGTAATGGATCTTATTCCCTTAGTTCTTAGCACAGCGCTGTGATGTGAGTGGCCTTGTTGTCATCTTGTAGACGAAGAAACTGAGGCCAAAAGAAATTATGTGACTTCCCCTTGGAAGTCACACAACCAAAAACTGTCGGGGCCAGGATTTACATCCAGAGTTTCAAATCATGACTGACCTTACTTTTCTCTCTGCTCTGAAGGGACATACCAGCAGGAGGATTCCTTCCCGTTGCAGGCCTTTGGGCTGTCGCAAGCGTTTAACATCTTCTGGTTAAAGCTGCGTTATAACACAAGTTCGGCTCTAGATGAGTCGGTATTGTAAAACAAGATTTACGCAAGTGTAAAACAAGGTTTTCATTCCTTGACAGCAAAGAGCATCTTATTCATCTTGCAATTCCTCCCACTTGGCCCAAAGTTAATACTGCTTTAGTGAATTAGCTAAATAAATAAACAAGTGTACGACTAGATTTGTTCGTGAACACAGCTGGTGGAGAGGAAGCTTTCATGTGGACCAGACTGATGTATTGTCCTTCTCCTGGGTATTTACATTTTATAAAATGATCCTGGAGGAAGGATGTAAATGAATGATGTCTAAAGTTGAATTTCCGGGCCGGCCCGGTGGCGCACTGGAGAGTGTGCTGCTTGGGAGTGCGGCAGCGCTCACGCCGAGGGTTCGGATCCCATGTGGAGACTTGTTCCTGCTCACTGGCTGGGCGTGGTGTGGGCGCAACACCGAGGGTTGTGATCCCGTTGCCGGTCCCCAGTACGGGCGTGACACCGAGGGTTGCGATCCCGTTACCGGTCAGTAAAAAAAAGACAAAAAGTAAAAAAATAATAATAAAAAAAAAATAAATAAAAAAATAAAGTTGAATTTCCAGTTCTGCCATTGGGAAGGAAATTGGGATGGAGGTTTTTCTCCAGCGTGTTCAATTTTATTGCAGGAATGACGGCCCATGTCTGCATGCCTTAGGGAAAAAGTGGAATGTTTCTTTGTTTGAGTTATCAAATGTCCAGAAACACTTTCCCTCAGTTCAAAGCAGTATGTTCTANGTGCAGGCGCAACACCGAGGGTTGCGATCCCGTTACCGGTCAGTAAAAAAAAGACAAAAAGTAAAAAAATAATAATAAATAAATAAATAAATAAAGTTGAATTTCCAGTTCTGCCATTGGGAAGGAAATTGGGATGGAGATTTTTCTCCAGCGTGTTCAATTTTATTGCAGGAATGACGGCCCATGTCTGCATGCCTTAGGGAAAAAGTGGAATGTTGCTTTGTTTGAGTTATCAAATGTCCAGAAACACTTTCCCTCAGTTCAAAGCAGTATGTTCTAATAACTCTGCCCATCAAGAAGTGGAGCAGGCCGCTTCTAACATCTTCGTGCCCACACATCTGCTAAGGCACTTGTTGGCTGGGCTCTGGAAGAAAGAACTGAAGGGTTGTTGGAGGAGTGGACCAGAAGTCTTCTCAGACACTCTGTCTCTGAACTTTTGGAGATGTGGGGGCTTTCGGGATAACATGATGTGCTAACCAGGTCTGTCTGTCTGTCGTCAACAGGTCTGAGGCGCAATTACAGATGCACCATCTGCAGTGTCTCCCTAAACTCAATAGAACAGTATCACGCCCACCTGAAAGGATCCAAACACCAGACCAAGTAGGTGCTTCATGCTTTCAGTCTTCAGTCCTTTTCTATGTGATATTTAACATGATGACTAAAGGCTGACCATCTTATTTACTTCAAAATAAGTAGATGGAAGTTACATCACTTTACTCCAAGGTACCCTTGCTATTTACGCTGCTGAAGCCCCCAGGATCTGCCTCACTGTACTTATAGAATGGCTTATCCTCCCTTTCTTGGCACAAGTAATAAAAGTTATCCTTTTTTAAAAAAATTTCTTTTTCAAGGACAGTTCAGCACACTTTTATGAACTTGAGGAAAATCTTAGATCTATACTAAGTATTTTAAAGTGAACAACGTTACCCCTGTTTGAAGGATGTGTGTAGGACTTTGGTGTTGTAAAGTCACATTCTATGAACGTCTTCTACTATTTCCCCCTTCTGGATGAATATTGTTGACTGTTATAGAAATGTAACAAAGTCACTGGTGTGTTAGGTCATTTACACACACAGCCGTCTCCAGTTACGTGAAACTCATTCTATTTTTTTCCCCAATGCTTCTCATGATTTTAAACTGGAAAGGCTAACATCCTCATTCCATCTGTATTTATACTACGCACCTCTTTAAAAACCACTGACATTAGCTCTGTAGACATTGTTAAAGCAGCTGCTAGACTGTTAATAAAATGCTAATAAAATAAGAGAAAACAAAGAATGTCTCAAAAAGATGTAATTTCCCTGAGCGTATTTGTTTTTATTCGTCTAATTTTCATTAAGAATATCATTTAACAGGTTTGGCTGTACCAAGGCCTCATGAATAATGAATGATCCGTTCAGGAAACATTTATTGAGTGCCTGCTGTGTGTCATTTTCCCCAACCTGTGCACTGGGGAAGGAGGGATGTGTAGCTGTGGTCCTTCCTCTGGTGGAGCCCCTGCCTGGCTGAGGAAGCAGCCCCGTGAGCACGTGGGTTGTTCCCTAGCACCATGTGCACGTCCAGAACTTTGACTACAGGGCAGGAAGCAACGCAGGGCAAGCTTGCAGGGGCCTTGGTGCAGAAGGTGAGCACCCAGGATGAGGTCAAGGTCAGATTTTGCTCAACATTATATCTCTTGTGCTTAACACAGCATTAGGTACACATTGTGGGCTTTATAGACATTTTTGATTGAATAAATGCATAATTTCAAAAGACGAGTAACATTTTCCAGGCAGGAATATGAGAAGAAGCATCTCAGGCAAGGAAAGTTACCATAATGACGTAGGTCACAGGGAATCTGGCTCAGCTGAGAGAATTTAACCCCCAAGTTATTTACTGACTCTCAGTTTTCTCCTTAAAATTGTGCTATCTTGTGAGTCAAATCCAGTTTCGTGGCTTGCTCTGCTCTGATGTGCCCCAGAGGACTTTTATCAAGGTAATTCTCCAAAAAGATTTTTCCTGATTTCTTACCCAGGAACATCTAACGCGATTGTATTGACTATTGGATACTGCCTCCCAACCCCAAAATCTGCTTTCATTCTCTTCGTAATTAATATGTTGTAGGAGACACCATATACATTCCAATTAGTTAGGTCTGATGTGCAGACAGACATACAAATGCCTGCAACAATAAATGACAATCTTTTGGGAACATGTATTCTTTGCCATTAATAAGTAGAAAAAGGAAGGCAACAATGACCTGGAGTGGCATGAGTTATACAAATAACCAACACAGACAGAATCTCCAGCTTCAGGAACATGTCTCTCTGTCTCTTTGTACTTTCAATATTTTACATGCCAAAATCTGTGCAAGATACTTTCACATCTATTATTGCCATTATTTCATATCTATTATTTCACATCTATTAACTACTTTTGAGATCAATATTATAGACCTATTATCTTGCATGAGAAATCTGGGGCTCAGAGAGGTTCAGTTGCTTACCCGACATCGTCAGCCAGCAGATGGCAGAGCCAGGTCTGACCGAACCAGCAGAGCCCAACTCACACCTCCACTCACTCCATGTCACTCAGTTACCGCAAACTCAGGCTTGGGACAATGGAGCGCCACAGAGAGTACTGTGATGGTTTCTGAAAAAGAGGACACCACTTCCCTGGTTAAAAGACATCGTTCATTTCTAACTCAGGAGCACAAAGTTGCTCCCTTCTGAAGAGTGAAACAAGAGAAATGTGAACACAGTACTTGCGGTGCCCCGTCCCACACACCTGCTTTGTTTGTCCTTGTACCTAAGTCGTGTGTGTGCACGTGCTTTTGAATGTGTATGTGTGTGAAGTATTTGTTCAAGTCTTTTGCCTGTTTGTAAAAATTAGGTTGTTTGTTTTCTTAATAAGTTGTAGAAGTTTCTAATTTTTAATGAAATCCAATTTATCAATCTGTTCTTTCATGGTTAAAGTTCTTTGGGTGCTATTTAAGAGTTCTCTGCCTATCCCAAGGTCGTAAAGATAATTTCCTGTTATCATCCAGAAATTGTGTTGTTTTTCCTTACAAATATAC